CTCCCGCCGTGAATTTTCAGTCCACATTATATTAACGTTTTTCAATCACTCTGTGAGCACAGGTAAAAGGCTATAATACGATACAATAATTTTAGGCGTTTTGATTTTTTCTGTAAAAATATCAAAAACGCCCCCTCGCTTGATTGTTGACGAACTTTGACAATTAAGTACTGGCGATCTACTTGGGTTACGTCGATACTTTTTATCTCTATGGAGAGCCCAAAAACCGCTCTTTATATATATTATAAAATCACTTATCTGTATAAAATTCTATTTGCGGTACGTTTACGTTAATGTTATGCGAAAACCAAAAAGGACCAACTTTAAAATCGATTTTCTCAAAAACAAAACATTTTTTTTTTGTTTTGTTAATATGTAGATATGATAATTGTGTACTCGAAAAGGCAGTCGAGAACGTGTGTATTTTGTTTGTATCTTCTATATTTAAGCCTCGATATCGGAAAAAGACTTCTACGTTTTGCAAGACTTAAGTCGGACATAGCGACCCGTGCGTCTTTATGAATTCTGAAAAGGTTTTCTTGAATTTTTGTTTGCTTTTTTGTAATCGAATATAAACGCATTTTGTGGTATTGAATAGTTATTTGTGTTTTGATAAGAACGGGAAACCACGAGAAACCTATCTAATCAAATCAGCAGCAAGTCGACCTTCAATATCGAAGAGGCACAGACGTTCTATTGTTTCGATTTATAGAACTTTCACTGTAAACTAGCATGACTAGCTATTAGCTGTGATATTACTAAGACAAAGAAAGTCACCACATCGTCGATAAATTATATGCAATTCTTTCCGAATCCAAACGCTAGGGTTTGTTCACCGCACATCGCACAGATCACCAGAGAATGGCCTTTCACTTCCGCAATACACAAAAGTGAAGACACAGAAACGGTCCGAAACACACGGAGATATTGTCACGGAGAGGGGTAGGGAATAAAAATAAATACATAAGAATAATATTACCCAACCCTGATATTAACGAAAATTCTGTTTAAAAAATAAAAGATTTAGGTTCGAGCGGTGGCAAGGCGATAGGTCCACGCGTGATGGGGAGTCTGACAAAGAAATCGACGACACATAAAGGTAAAATAAAAAATAAAAATTTAATCCAGACGAAAAAACTTAGCCGCACACGGCGAGAACAAAAACGAACTCCTCCGGGCATTCCCTAAACGGGACACAACCAAATCCGTGCGAACACGCTCTCTAGAGCACCGTCAGGCCGCTACGCCATGACGAAATAAACACAACTAAACATGCTAACAAACAGTTAATCATAAAACATAAAAAGAAAAACGTTCAGCAATACCGCACCCGAGAAACAAAGTTCAGCGGGGCGAAGAAACACACGAAATAAAAAAAAAAAGTCTTAACTGACCGACGCCGAGTCCAGTCCCACGACACTGAAGCCTGGCAGGATGACGGTGTTCAGATGATGCTCAAATCTGTTCTTTACTCTATTACGCACATCCAGGGCGGCTGTGCGGTACAGTGGCTGTGCGGAACGAAGTGAGGAATAGATTCGAGCAGCAATGCGCGAGAAGGTAACCGAAAGGTAACATGCCTCGAGCTTCATATCGGGAAAGGAGCTTTCGAGGTAGTTACTGCAGTTACCCAAACTTTCTCTTTCCCTTCCCTTTTTCAAAAAAACACGTCAGCCGGCGCTAACTTTTCATTTCGGGAGAAGGCCACTCTTCACAAACGGTTATAGTTGACAAGGAGGCTGACTTCGACCCGACTAGTCTCCGGGCAGAATAAACACGAGTATATCTACCAACACGCTCGTTTCTATTGTCAGTCTCCGAGCTTTGCTGTTTCCAAAAGAGATAACCCTTCGGTGCTATCGGGTCTACGCGGAGAGAGATGTTCGCCGCGTCAACGACACATTTGTACCATTTCACTCCTCGTGACACATGGTGCGCTGCTCGCTTTACTGTCACGGGCCGTCCTATCTACCACAACGAGAGCGAAAGGTCGTGGTCATCTGCTGGTTCCGAAAGGACGGGACGTTCATATAGGCCAATGAAGGCCCCGAATCAATACGACGTCTGCCGATTTCTACACGTTAAAAATTTACGACGCCTGCTGGTCTGGTTAGAAGTGTTGCTTTCTCTTTTGAACTCCTCCAATGTAGCTTGCCGCCTATGATACAATTTAAATAATGAATAACTCTAACAGGGTGGAACTACTGTATTTCATTTTTATGTGTGAGCGTTGAAAACAGGCAAAAATATTTCACCGTTTGCGAAGGCGCGCAATTCGCAAGTCCATTTCGAGGCGTAAAAGCACGTTTTTGTACGATATTGATGCTTAAATATAGAACATACAAACAGAAGACACCCTTTCTCGACTTGCTTTTCGTGTAGACAACTATCATATCTACATTTTAACAAAAAAAAACGTTTTTTTGAGAAAATCGATTTTAAATTTTTGGTTTTCGATAACATTAACGTAAACGTGCCGGAAATGATATTTTATACAAAAAGTCAATTTATAATATATATAAAGAGCGTGTTTTGGGCTCTCCGTGGAGATAAAAAATATTAATGTGATCTAAGTAGATCGCCAGTAATTAATTGTCAAAGTTCGTCAACAATTGACCGAGTTTTTGACATTTTTACAGAAAAAAAGCAAAAAGCCTAAAATTATTTTATGGTATAAGAGCCTTTTAAATGGGTTCACAGAGTGCTTGAAAAAGTTAATATAATGTGGACTGAAAATCCAAGGCGGGAGATCGAGCGAAACATCCGACCCACGACGGATGTGAAAAAGAGTGCTTTCTGCGGTGGCCTCTTTTAAAATTAGTAAATCGAGAACAAGAAATCAGACGAACTTGCGGTTTGTGGCTACTGCGTTTTTAGAGGCGACGCCATAACATATATTTTTTTGAGCGAAATTACAAATTTAACGCTTTTTGCCTGCACGATTTGAGGGGTTCACCCATATATATATATATATATGTGTGTGTGTGTGTGTGTGTGTGTGTGTGTGTGTGTGTGTGTGTGTGTGTGTGTGTGTGTTGTGTGTGTGTGTGTATATAAACCATGTAAAAAATCCCTTTGCAAGATCTGCAATCAAATGTTTTCCACATTGATTTAGCACAAATTCGCACTTCCCTCAAACGATTAGCAGTGACGTCGACTGCGACTCGGACAATGGAATATACTTTATTGAATACCACACATGTAAAGAACAGTTCATTGAACAAACTAATACCACGTTTTGTCGCAGATTCAACAACCATAATTCCGACGTTAGGTGCCAACCCAACCTTCCAGTGTCCAAACATTTCAGCCAGCCGGGAAATGTAATAACGAATGCAAAGTTAGTCATCATGCAGAGGGGCTTCAATACTCAAGCAAAAAAAAAAAAAGAAAATTGCGAGTCGCACATAATATAATAAATTTCAGTGCAAAAGTAACAAAGATTTGGATACTCTTTCAACAATACAGAACATAAACAACCATCTGCCGCAACACTCCCGCCCTGCTTAATCCTGCATTTTTTTTTTTTTTTTTTTTTTTAGGTTTGTACGATCCAGTTTTCAAAATCTGAGGAAGAGGTAGCTCCACACGACCCGGACATACAAGAGCGCCACGAATGACTCACTGCACAGTTTCCGCCCAGCCGGAATGCACTTTCGAGCAGAGCCTACAAACGTCATCCTTCATCGCAACAAACTTGGACTCGCGCCTGGAATTCCCCGCGCTCCCCTTTCCCTACAAGCCCCCTCAAGCTTTCGCGTTAACAACACCCTCCCCTAGATCTTGTATAAAGCCAAACAACTGCCCCCATGTGGGCTTCCGTCCTGGACCATTGTTTTTGTTCCCCGAAATTGAACCATAACCGAACCGAAAGCTGTGAACCCGAAACCTAACCGAACTGATAAAAAGGTCGGTTCAACACTCTGTAATGACTGCACCACCGCTGGCGCAATGCTTCGGGGGAATAGTCTTTCTGCACGTGCGACAACCTTGCTCGAGCTCTGCACGTGCGGAGCACGAGGCGGCACAAGCCCTCCAATGCATGGCCGTTTGCCTTTTGTGAACAAAAGCTACAACAGCCTCACGCATGCGCCTATCGCTTAGTGAGATCGGCTGATTCGATCCCCTTGATGGAATTCCCAGTTCGCGCCTCTTACAAGTACCAGAGCAAGTACCGATAACCAGTGTCGTGCTGACACGCGATACACGTGCCACGAATTGAATAACCAACAGCTTCTTGAGAACTCATTTATCGCCCCACGTCAATTTCGTTTCACATGACGCACGGAACAAGTGCCTAGTTCTGTGCTCACCAAAACTTGTATGAAACATGCAAACTCTGTGTTATCCCACGAGAGCGCTATCCTGGCGTCAACCAGAGAACTACTCTATAATGTTAAGGACAGGTTATACTCCCTCCTAACGTCGACGAGTGCACGAGCCCGATCACATTGGCCGACGCGGGTTGCGAATGACGTAACGCGACGTAACGCAGCGTAGCCCAGCGCGCCTTGGCGTAGCTCACGACAGAATCGAACTTGCTCTATCCGCGTCGTCGACGAGCGCAGGCCGACGACAGTGACTATTTCAGAATCCTTCGCCCATTCTGCAATCCGGTTGTCGGGGCCGTCGGAGCCGTCGGGGCCAGTCGGCGTGTGCGAGGCGTTCATTTCGGGCGCCCTGTGAAATTTATAGGTGTATATATTTGTATGCTATAATATAATGCTATAAAAACAGAAAACTGAAGTGGCCTCTGCTTGAAACCGCTGATCATACTCTAACCGACTTTTTTCTTTTTGTTTTTTGCTATTGAAACTTTCAATTTTGAGTTTTGTGGATAAATCCAAATTGGCAAAATTTTTATCGGCTACTGTTTTATTTGTAACTTATCGGATGTATTCGAAATCTTGGGACCCTCCTTATATTCCCCTCTGATTTACAGAAAGGAATCACGTCGGTAACAAGGCAAGAGTTTGTAATCGAGTTTGATTTACAGTGCCTTAATCTGATTTTAGTGCTTGAGAATTACACTGCTCACGGCCCTTATTGAAGATGTAGGATTGGACATAAAAGTTTATAAAGAGCGCGAGTACCAGCATTAACTGTGGAGCTAAAATTAAGCTAAGGCCCCAGGGGTATCCGCAATCATAGACTAGTGGAATGCACATGTAGAGACTCACAAAGGTCATTTGAAAAATCTGCAGGCTGGTGAGGTACTTCTTCCACCACAGGTGCTTTCTAACTGCTGGTCCAAGTGATGCAAGAAAGTAGTAACCATACATGATGACGTGGACCAAGCAGTTAAAACACACGGGCATTATCACATGCCCATCCGAACCAAACGTAATCCACAACCACCCGTTGACAATTACCAAAAAATGATGAATTACGTGCAAAGCCGTGATGTGGGAGAACTTCTTGGTGGCGACGAAGAAGAATGTGTCCAAAAAGTCCGCTATCCTGACGAACAGGCTCCACCACACGAGTCTCAGGATTGTCATTGTGTTGTTGTCTCTGGAGTAGCTCACCCCCTGACAGAAAGCATTGTAGTCTCCGCCGAGGTAAGAGTGCCGCGTGTACTGCACAAAAAGGAAAGTGTTTGCAATCACTTGAAACAGGTTGTACACCATGATGGCGGACTTGAGCTTGTAGGGCTTGCGGTTTTCCATCCATCGTCGTCCTCCAAACCTCACGGCGTAAAGATAACCTAACGCCAGCGGCAGCATGAACTTCGAGTTTTCTGTCCAGCCCCAATCAACCGTTCTCGGGTCTCTGAGAGATGTGACGTACTTGTATCTGTCGACAAGGTTCAGGATCAGTTGGGGTACAGCCAAAGCCATCTTGGGGAAACAACTTCCGTTCTCCTTGAAGTTCGCTTGTTCCGCTGGTTGTCAGTCTTGGGAGCGAGCGGCAGCACTAACACACATTCACGCAGTCGATTGATTCCTTGATGCTTAAGATTTGTTAAAATAAGTGTGTGGTGTTCCTCTTGCACTCACATGAGGCGACGAGAGGGGCGATAGAGAAAATATCGGAGTCACCAACCCGGTACACTAAGGACTCCGACAAATAAGTATACTTTTTAGCACGCTTATTGGCGACGTTTCTCGGTCAGGAACACTACTGAAGTAAAAAGACTGCGGAGTACTGGCATAGCACTCCAGGCCTTCGTTCAGAGGTGCAGCTGCTGCAGGGAGTCTACTCAGATCCACTAGCGCTGCTGCATAACCTGTTCTTGATACAAAACATATCACCCAGCATCGCCCCCACGTTTTCCGGCTCGTGTTTGTTTTTCCCCCTCTGTCAGTCATTTACATGTCAGAATAACAGGAAAAGTGCAGCAAGCTGGAATGTTCTTGGTTGCTTCTTGCTGCCGTTAGTTTTGGGCGAATAGCAGATAAAAATAATAGATACTGGCATACCTTTACAGCGATTACATGTATGCCAGGTGTACGACGGCACCTGGCATAGGTAAAATAATTTACGCTACACCAAGCGCACCTGCAGACAAGATTTATGAGCGTGAGTTCGTCACCCAATCGGCTCATGCCTCTATTTCTGTAGCCGACATGACATATAAGGCTTGTCTGTGGAACAGAAAATTAACATCGTTTGAAGGCTCGGAATGACATTCGACCTTTCGTTAATAAACTTGGATTGTTCAAGGCTAAAAAAAAGGCTTTAGTAATGAAGAAGCATATTATAAAGCTTCGTTACTTGATTAGTATAAAGCTAGACATATTAACAGTTCATAACGTGTTCAAATACAGACTAATTTCTACCTTAAAACACAGACATATAGCCGTAATAAAAAAAGTTCGGAGTAATCAATGTTGAGAAAAAATAGCCCCGGAAACGAAACTCGAAGTTGAAAACTGGCAGATGATTATTGACCAAACTACACACGGAGACCAAAGGATAAGACGAAGTTTTTTCAGAACTACTAAACTATCTGTCAAATAACCCCACAGAATTGCATATCACATTTGTTAAACAATTTGAAAAAAAAATCATACAATCAAAGTAGCGATGCACAAGAAAGGCGTGCTCACCGCAGGGTGAGTACATTTGACGAAAAGCCCGTTTTGTATATTAATTATGCGCTCCAGTTACTCTTTCAGTGTAGTTTTGGAAATAGTGTTTACTCTGACCATTTGTCAAACTTTATCAGTATGGGCTATTATTTTTCTTAAAACACGGTCTTCATTTTATTCGAAATATGCATATAAGTATTTTTTTATCTTGTGATGTGTTTTTTTGGTAACATCTCTTTTGGGGGTTGGTATTCTATGTTTTATTTATCTATTAGAAATATCCAAGCATAAGCGCGTAACACTACGTTAACTTTTTATTGTTCTTTTCTTTGTATCGCCGTTGCAGTCTTTAGGGGGGCCGAGGCCCTCGTCAAGCTGATTGATTAGCTTGTTTCCTCGGCCTCCCCCATTTACATGTCGAATATAAAATTTCATTTGAGTTGATATTTAGTTCTTTACCGGGGCATTAGCTGTCACTTACATGTTTTGGAGGACGACGGATTTTAACACAATGTGTGTGACATGGTTGGCAACCAGACTTGAAAAGTAATCTGTTACAAGTAACGGATTACTTGTAATTCGTTACCTTGTTAAGTAACTTTGTAATTGCCACGTTACTTTTTATGGAAGTAATTTGTAATGTAATTTCGTTACAAAATATTGGTAGTGAATTACTTTACTTTCTGTTGCTTTTTTAAAAAATATGAGGATAATAAAGTAGCTGAGGCAATACGAGCAGAACATTCAGCAGCATAAAGAGATCAAATTCAACGAAATAGAAAACATCAGGAAGGGGAGAACAGCCGAAAAAAAAGCACGATTTTTTTGTATGACCGGTCACTAGAACCACCAAAAAACGGGCAAGGCATGTACAAATATACGAAAGACAAAGATCAAGTAAGAGAACGCGGAGTAGGCTCTCCGTCGCATTCCGTCGTGTTTTTTTCCTTCTCCCAGGCAGGAGAAAGCTCTTCGTGGTTATTTGTTTTTGTCGTTTATACCGTTTCACCCTTTCCAACTTCTTCGACGTCTCCCCCCACCTGCAGAGACATTAACGCGGGTACCTACCCCCTCGATTCGCGGCTTCACAAGTCGCGTAACAGTCGATGTAGCCTCGCGTGAAAGGGTCAAATTCTCTTTTTCTTTGACGTGCGCTACTTTATTCTAGCACGCCCTTGAGGCACGGCTGAAAAGCGCCCGGCGCGAGGCTAAGAGTATCGTCTTCGAGGGTACGCATGATACTTCATTTGGTTTACTTGGTGGTCGAGTTCACTTTTCACCTTACAGTCAGCTGTCAACATAAGTAAGGGGGGGGGGGGGGTTAGACCACCTATGAAGTGCTAACAGAAAGAGAGAGAGAACGCGTATAAAAGTGGTGTGATCCTTTATTGTTTGGTGAGACCGCTGGCGACCGCTTCTCTCGCTCTCTATGCCCTCCCCTCCCCTGGCCTCCATGAATATTGGTATGAAAGCGAGAACCGATGAACGATCGATAGCCCGTAACCACCACTTTTTCTCTCTGGTCGAGTTTTCGGTCATGGACTGTCGGTCGCCTCCATGGCCAACTCTTAAAGGGGCCCTGCAATCATAATTAAGCGTCTACCTTTTTTGCGGTTTCCACGTCTCTTGGGGTTGGGCAAGCCAGCGGGCACGGAGAGAGTAACTAAATATCAGTGCGCCATATTTTAACCGGACGACGCGGAAACCTCCTCCACCTACGGGGGCGACCCACGGTGCCGAAAGCGCATTAAATGTGACGTCTTTGGTCCTGGGCTTACTACTGGTCAGAGCCGCTAAAAGCTTCTTTTGAGTCGAAATACCAAAATATAAGTGGCACGAACCATTTCAATTATTTATAAAAGTAGCTTTTTTTTCAGTATATTAGATCAAAAAAGAAATAAATGCAGTTTGTAAAGTACGGAAACAAGAAATGACCCGTCGACATACCCGCCACCAAGCGGCAGAAAAGGCGCCGCATACTAGAAAGGAGTAGTGGCTGTAGTAGTGGGATCTGGCGCCGACACGGAAAGGTCCCGGATGTACGCGGCGGCGCTGCGTTCGTAGGGATTGGAGGATCCGACCGGCTCCGAGCGTTCCGAAGGCCTTCGGCGAGGAGGTTTGTCTGGCGGTTTGACCGTTTCGCGGTATGGCGGCGCGAAGTGGCTCCCATTCTGAACTGATCTTTACCCCGTGTTCGCTGTCGTTTGTGGCCAATGAAGTGTCATGCCGAATTAGTGTTTAATCGCGCAGCAAATGCAATGAGAGCCGCTTTGGCTGCCCGCTGCATACAGCCTATACAGAACATGCTTTAGTGGCGCCCTCTCGCGCCGTCGACACGGAGTGCAGCAACCCGTGAGCGCTCGCTAAGCTTGATCACTACCCCTTTTCTAGTTCATGGCCACTCAAGCAACCAAGGACGTCATGAAGGAGGTTATTTTTTGCTTGTTTTTGTAATTTTAATTTGCCTATAACTTTTAAAATAAAGCGAACTTTGAAACAAGAAAAGTTTTATTGACTTACTACGTTCAGTGTGCTCAGGTTGGGTGCAAATTAAAAATGAGTAAAGAAGTGATTGCAGGGCCCCTTTAATGAGATATTCAAAATTCAAGGCACTAAGTAGAACGGAAACCTAGAGTATTAGTGCATATTTTGCTTGCCAAAAAACACACATTGTCAACAGCAAGGAAACAAACTCTAATCTACAAAAACACATCAAGGTAAGCTGGGACACCTGCATTCAGCATTGGCTATACATTGTAACGTAAGAACCAAGTTTTTCGTTTCTTGTGAATAACAGGCGAAACACCCGAGTCAAAAGGGAGCTTTCGTAGATCGCTTATTTAGCTCCGAACTTCGTAGCGGAGATAGACGCTGCAACTGAGCATGCGCACCGCTAGCTTTATCTGCACAATTCCAGAGATAATTTCCGGAGACCGTAACCCAGCGGGAGGGCGGGTGTGGTTGCAGCTTTCGGTGCCTTGTCAGCTTACAGGTGAACGGATTATACCTACACTTTTTTCTTAAATACAATAATTTATTTTTACAAGGACTACCACAGTACGGGCGTATGAGAAATGAAAAGTAGTGTTGCAGAACATTTTTGGACAATATCGAAATTTTTTCTATTGTTTTCTGGATAAGCGTACGGAAGCAGTAACATGAAAGTACTTTGTAACGTAACGAGTAAAGCAAATACCGTGGAAGCCAATACTGGCAACTCCCGCGGAAAACGGGCGAAAAGTGATTGCAGCGCCCCTGGCGAGCTCGGAGTCTCCGCTAGCAGACAAATTCTCCAAAATGCATTGGTTTTGCCTATCTCCGTGCGAGGTGACCAACGAAAAAAAATTGTCACGGACATTCGCTGCTTTGAAAGTTAAAAAATGGGTGCCAGCTCATGAGTGAAGGACATTCTCTTCGCGTGGGAAAGGTGTTACAGCTTTCTGGGTGCAATTTCGGAGTTCTCCCGAAGAAAACATTCTGTCACAACTTATGTAAGCCAAGCAAAACACGAATGTATGCCTTCGCGCTGTTTCGTGAAAAAGGGAAATGTACAAACATTTCAGAACATAGCTTCGTTTCAACTTTGTTGTTCTTATCAGTCAATTCGTTTTGTCGTTGCAATTCCCATTTCTCATGAATGTCTTGCTTATAACCGTTTCGTCGAACAGGCGAGCTGGCTAATCCCGTTAAGATCGTCTCCGGATGAAGAAGCAGAAGTCAATTTCGAACCACGTACGTTACGGCGATGTCAGTATGCTCCGAAAGAAGTCGCTGTGCATATACAAATCTGACGCGATTATAGATGA